AGTGGCGAGAGAAGCGAAATTCCTTGTACAGAAGCTGAAGCAGTTCATCAAGGCGCCATCAAACTTGGTGGTTAGACCCGTTCAGAGGGTGGCTACGTCATTAGGACCATAACTGATGAGTGAGGACAAATTATGGCAGTCTGTATCCTCTATTGAGATAACCACTTTGCGTCTGTCACGGAACCAAGCCTGGGAGTCAGATTTTCTAAAAACCATTCGATGAAATGGGAAGCGCAATCAGGCGAGATGCAGCTGTTGCCAAAAACAGGAAGTCATTTTGGTTTGCATTCAGTGACGAGGCACTGAAGATTCTCTTAGCGAAGGAGAACCAGAATGATTGATATTTACGCCAGAAATTCATTACCCAATACAAATTCCATTACAACATATCTTTCGACGACGTGGACCGTCCATCCGGTAGCAGATGTTCTTTAGAGCCACGATTTCATCCCCATTTATAGCATGCAGTCATAATTTCTGCATTAACACAATACACGTATAATTGAATAAATTAAGTTCTAAGCTTTTTAGCAGATGTTCGAACAGGTCTTTGTGCGATCCTGCCTAATGATGTGATTTTGCGTCTATGCACCGCAGGTGCTCAAATACCATGGATCCGTGACTTGCTTAAATGGCCATCTAGGCCACTAGAAGCAAGGAGATGGTGCTTCCGTCGCTTCAGTGCGGTATTAAAAAATGAAAAGGATTATATATTTTATCGGTGGTATAAATAGCTATCAGTATGCTAGTAAACTCATAAGATCGGGTTTTAATTTTCTGTCTGAGATTTTAAGTTAACATATTTTGGGTAGGATCACTGGACAGTGTGCAGCGATGACAGTTAGAGATCGCATATCGGAACATTTTGCAGCAGTTTGCCAACCGTCTCTGTACCCCCATTTACACCTGTCAGTGGCAAAGGTTTGTCAGTGGTGGCAGTTGAAGTCCTGAGTAGCTTGAGTGAGTCTGGCCTGAGAATCCAACTGATCTGTTAATCATAATTCGCTTAAATATATGGGAAATATAAGGATCCAGAGCGCTTGGCAGAGCGTTGGCTAAAACCGGTCGTTCATAATGAAACCAACGCTAATTTATCATTACGGAAATTTTCCGTCAACGTTTGACAAATATAATTACATTTATAATCACGCAGCAATTTTCTGATATGTACTTAAGCACTTTCTCTTCGCGTTTTAGACGCTTCCTCAAGAGAATGGTCGACAGAAATACGCTGTCAACGTATCCTCTGGCCAATTTTTCCGTCAGTCTCTATCAGCACGTGGGAACATCGTCCGAATCGTTATGTCTTTCGCCGCTCTCCGTGTCCTTGGCCTTGGCGATGATTTTCTACGGATCCGGCGGAAATACGAAAAGCCAAATCCGGGAAACATTGATCGGGTCGGCTTCAACCGACGAACATCTGTCTACCTACATGAGCGACGTCATGAGGACAATCAACAACACGGAGGACAACCTGAAGCTTTACGCGGTGAACAGATTGTACATAGATCAGAAATACGATGTGTTAGAATCGTACAAAACTGAGGTACACGACAAACTGAATTCCGAAATAGTATCGGCCGATTTTTCTAATCCGAACAAAGCCGCATCAGAAATTAACACTTGGGTTGCGGTGGCGACACATGAGAAGATCACGCAGCTGGTGTCAGCGGATTCGCTTGGTCCAGAGACGCGCCTGATGATCGTCAATGCCATTTATTTCAAGAATAAATGGATTAAGGAGTTTTCGAGAAGCAGCACGTCGAAGAAAGTCTTCTACAAGTCACCAGGTCACGATGTGAAAGTGGACATGATGCACAAGAAAACCTACTTCATGTACGGAGAATCTTCCGACTGCCAAGTGCTGGAAATGCAATACAAAGGACGTTCAGCGTCGATGATCGTTCTCTTGCCAAACGAACGGTATGGCTTGAAGAAATTTGAGCAAGAACTAACGGCAAAAAAGTTGGTCCAGCTGCTGTCTTCCACTTATCACACAACCGTGGCCGTAAGTGCGTGCGTTCTATGAGGATAACTGCTCATCACCCTTGCTTTTTAAGGTTCAGTTCCCCAAGTTCGAACTCCGGTCAAAGTTTGAACTGAACCAGGCTTTACAACGTATGGGAATAACGGATATGTTCACCGGCGATGCGAATTTGTCACGGATCAGTGGCAAACGCGACTTGCACGTTTCGTCTGGCACACACGAGGCTTACATTAAGGTACGTTGGAATGTTAATGGCGAAAGAATTTCCTGCCCATGGAAGGGCTTAACTCACCGGCAGTTAAATGTGAGAGTATAAGGCAGATCGACATCCGAACGGCTATGCACTTCCTTTTACGCTGATTAGCTGACCTACCAATTTTCAACAAAATCTGTAGAGTACTGGGGGTTAGCTGTTCGCTTCTAGTGGCTAAGTGTCTTTTACATCTTTAGCATACTGGAGGGACGGACTACTGATCGTAATGCTGTGTGTTCAGCGCGATGAGTCAAAGCATTAGCAATTAATAAACTTCTCTAAGAACTTCGTTTCAAGACGCTTGACATTTTTACTAGCCCCTAAAAGAATCTTGATGCTGCACCTCAGAGCCTCGATTTTTTTTTAATTACAAAAATTTCGCTAATTTATTTTTTCTGTCCTAATTAAATTATTATCTAAA